TCAAACAAACTACAGACCTTCATCAACAGCTGTCTTCGCTTAAGATCAGATGGCCGGCCAGGAAAGATCAGCAACAGGGATCTCTGGCAATGAGCGAAACAACCTAGCGGGAACCCATTGTGCAACAAATATCCAGGAAGAAATGAAGGTGGATTGGTCATACTTTGAGAAAACCATCAAGCGAGTGACATCACACGCCAGGCCATCGCTCGAGTGGAACCCGAACGGGAAGTGGCGAGTTGGCCGTTAGTGCGAGGGTGACATGTAGGAGATCATGTGAAGAGAAGATGAAAGCATGTCGGTATAGAAGGAGCCAGATGAAAACGTTGGCAGAGAACCGAACGCAATGGAGACGTGCGGCTGGAACCCCATGTTCCTTTAGGAACTAAAGGAAACAACAAAAATAAAAATATGTTTCAGAGACTTGGCACGTCAGCAAAGGCACTTCCCATAGCCTGGTGCAGACATTTGTTGTCAAAAACTGTCATCGCTGCACACCAAAGATCGTATGGTCGGAAAGGATCACCAACAAGGAACTCTGGGAACAAACCAAAAAAGAACCTATTGCCCAATAAATATGTCGAAGGAAATTCAGACGGATCAGACACATCACTCTGAGGAAGCCGTTGGGTGACATCACACCACAGGCCTTCGATTGGAACAGGCATGAGAAAAGACGAGTTGGGGGAGATCGTGTGAAGAGATGAAAACTGGGGTCTAATCGTGAAACCACCTAAAATAAAGACTGCAGACATATGTGACTGGAGCCATACGCTCTACTCGGTACTCCAGAGAAAAAAAGTAATATGATAAAAGTATTGTCACTTTCGACTTATAGGTAATCATGTTGAGATTCACAATACAACTAAATTCAAATCGTCATGAACAAGTTTTAAGTAATTTCAGTGGCATTCAAAAAATTTCAGCATTTTAGTATTTTTCTTAATGTTTAAAAACCAATCAACTTATATATTCATCAATCTCAACACACTGAAACACTCAATTCACATGATCATCACAAACAAGTAGAAATGTACCATCTCTCAAATATGATGCTCTCCCTTCATACAAAATAGAATCTCTAAAGTAATCAGACTTACTTCGACATCAATACCCTGAGAATCCGAGCCAGTTTTAATTATTCCACGTTTCATAGAAGTGAGTAAATGCATTAGAATCTGAAAGACAAGAGTAACACATAAGGCATAAATTTGATCACACTTTCCAACCACAAAAAAACAAGCAAAAATGACACACCACTACAGGATGAACCAGTACCGATTCAATACAAACTCAACCGTTACTTGATAACAAAAATTCCAAAAAAATAACAACTATCTTGCCCTAATCCACACAACTCAATAATTCTACTCAAATTTAATCACAAATTTTGCAATATTACACATATACAAAATACTCCGAACTAGTATATACTTGTATTGTATGTGTATACAATTCTTGACACATAACAGTAAGGTCCCCATAAATAACTTGGCACAACAGAGGATTAGTAGACTTAAGTAATCCTCTCGAAATGCTCTTATATGACAAGGCAGTCATAGCTGTTGCCACCTAGGTCCTGTTCACTGCCTTCAGGCAATGCTGGTGTTCCTCACAAAAGTGTAAGGACGAATGCGAACAGCTGGGCCTGCAACTTGGCTGACTGATGGACAGGCTGGTCTACTGCACTAGGTATAAGGGACAAAAATCCAGGTCCTCAACACGGAAACGATTAACAACAAGGAATTCTGAAAATGAGCCAACAAAGAACTTATTGCCAAAAAAAGTATACAAAAAAGGAAATGGAGACCGTCGAGTAACTCGAGCCACACTCAACTTATCGAGCATCCAACACACCTCCCTGAATGGGATATAAACACCGGCCCTTCATCCCTAACTGATGTTACATGCATACCTTGCAATGACTGTGAGTGAGGTCAACTGCATAGATTAAACTAGTAGATTGGGAGTAGCCAGATTATCAGAACATAAGAGTTTAGCTAAGGTTAGAACGGTTGACCCCGTGAAGATAAGTAATTTAGAAAAACAACTCAGCAATCACATTGCATGTATTAACACACAACCACACAATAGGGTGGTGGGACAGAGTCAAAATTCTAAAAAGTAATACAGGTAGGTGGAGAGAGAGAGAGAGATTAACTACTCAATCCTGATTTATCCAGTCTACACCCGACACGTGCAATAGAAGTGACTCAACGCAAATACCAGAGATATGGAAGATATTATCACCAGAGGAGGATAATAAATGATGTTAAAATTTCTTCCAATACACGTTATAACACACCAACATGTCATATATTTTATTTTGCTCACAAAACATCCTATTCCCCATCTTATTGACTAACAACACTCGTCTTATTTCCCCATCGTGTGGCAACTGAAACTGCTGCACATATGTGCAAAGTTCTACGCTGAAACCAGTCAGTCAGTGAGCAACTCAGCACGGATCCAAAAAGCTCGGGCTGCTTTCGCTAACTTACACCATCTCTGGCGTAGGCGTGACATCCGACTATCAACCAAGGGACGTGTGTACTCCTCATCAGTTCGCTCCATCCTTCTCTGTGGCTCTAAAACATGGCCAATATGAGTTGAAGACATGAAAAGGTTGACTGTTTTTGAATAAAGTGATTATTATTATTATTATTAAATATTATTATAGATGTTTACGATCTCTTTCTCACGTTAGGAGGCATAATAAAGTAAGTAATGTTGACGTTAGGCGTAGAGTGTTGGGCAAAGAGCGGAAATCAATCGAAGAGGCTATAAAGTTACATAGATTGAGATGGCTAGGTCACGTGCTGCGCATGCCTAACCATCGCCTCCCCCACACCGACGGGCATTACTAGCTGATATAGGTGCAGGTTGGAAAAGAGTAAGTGGTGGCCAAACAAAAACATGGCCTCATCAATCCATGAAATCCCTGACAGTTAAACTGAGTCAGGTAGGGAGATGCAGACTTCCGGGTTGGGGCTCTCGGGACTCGAAGAATCAATGGCTGGAGACAATAGGTGACATGGCCCAAAATCGTTGTCAATGGCTTACGCAGATGTATTCAGTCTCTGTAATCTTTCGTATTCTTTTCTACCATTACTCATTCTGTTTCACTCTTATACTTGTCAAAACTCTATTGATTCTCTTCACTCATTTTCCTGTCTACCTTTGTGTGGTATTTGGAACGTGGCAACTCGAACTGCTGCACTTCGGTTCCAAGTTCTATGTTGAATCCAGACAGACAGACAGACAACTCGAGTGGAACCAGAAATGGGAAACGTCGACTACTGACTTGGAACCGAGGGTGACATGGAGAAGATGAAAGCTTATGGGTAATCATGGAGCCAGTTACAGAGGACTACAGAGAAGAAGATAAAGCGGAGATATGCTGATGAATCTCAGTGTTCCACCTGGAACCTAAGGGAATAATAATAATAGCTATTTAAATGAAAGAGGTAAGAAATGAGTAGTAGTCAACAAATTCTTAAAAATTGATGCTACCATAAATACAAAAAATATGCACCAATCTCATCACTTACATCATTAATAGCACAAACAATTTGACATTGAAAATGCTTTGAACTTGGCCATAAATCATGACTGAGGTAGTCTAAAAACAATAGAAGTTTTTCATTGAATCCCTCCAACTCTTTTGTTTTAGTAATCAGACCTACTAAAACATTCAGAGCTGTAAGTCGAAGCTGGATAAAACAAAAAGAGAAGTAATAAAAGCAGGATAAAGAAAAGGATACATTGGAGAAGGGAGAATATATATGGAAATGAATTAATGCTGTAACATACTGCTGCCAATTCAGCAAGAGTTGGAAAACTCAGGCTATGAAGACTGAATATTAAAATAACTGAGTCTTTTGATTAAACACTAGGAGGTAACTATTGTCACATGCGTCTACTTCATCGTTTGGTGCAAACTGGATTCTGTCAGTCAAGTTGACAATGTGACCACCATGTTAGATGGTGACCACCATCACCTTCCATCATTCTGAATTCATGTTAGATGGTTGAAGGCAATAGGCTGGAAGCCGTGGACCTAGATTTCGTGCTTATTGGCACTCAGCGGTTAGCAAGGCGTATCTACAATCTTGATAGAACACCGAGGACTAGATGCATGACGTTAGTCATCCTCTATGAGCCAATCAATCAATGTCTGCATTACAGTCCTACAGAAAGTCAATTGTGAGCCCGATTAGCTGAGCGGTAAGATCTCTGAGTGACAGCAGTAGGTGATATAGGCTCGAACCCTGTACGGGACGTGAGTTATTTCAAGGTTACAGATACGCTTTGCTGAGCAGTGTCAAAAAGCACGAAACCTAAGTCCGGGACTTTCTGCCGACTGCTTCCAACCATCTAACAAAATAAGTTAGTGCTAATAATACAGTCTCGAGACCAAACACTTGTGGATTATAAGTATTAAACTGTAGACCCGGTAAAGACATATGAGTCAAAGAAAATGAGATGTATTCCGTAAATACAATACACAAATATATCAAAAGGAACTGAATCGATCAGAACTACAACTTATGCATGAAACCTAAGCACTACCTACATAGCGAAGCGTCAACACAACTAATGGGCCTATACACAGTGAGACAGTGAAGTAATATCAAGACAGACGCTGCAGACTTACGACAAACAAGATGTGTGAGATATTCTGATTACCAATGCGTGTATAATTGACTCCAAGGTGAAGATGAAGTCCTTCTTCAAATCGATTAATCTCTTAGAAATCTAACAAGTGACCCCTTTAATGATTACTAAGTACAAAATCCCACATAAAACCTGAAATTTGGAGGATTTAGAGAAGGTATATGTGTCACAGGTTCAACAGCAGAATACTCCCCAACCACACACGTAGTTCAGGGTTCGATTCCCAATCAATATACTCCTAAACCTCACATGGTTGACAATAAGCCAAGGAAAAGACGGAAAGTTAGGCATGAGCCTAGCAACCCCTTCTTGTAAAAAGAAAACACCAAACCTAGTGAAACTTAAAAAAGATTTTTTTAAACACATACAGGCGTGAAATCGATTGACAACTGTAGAGCACTTTGCTTCCATATATTCTGTGACAAAAAGCATAACACACTTACCTGATCATCATATGCACCAAGGCATGATTTAAGAAAATCTAACGAGAAATATTTACGAACATCTGTTTTAACACGACTTGAAGACAGAAGACGATAGCATGTCAACAGGAACATAGATAAGTGAACATCTTCATGAACTGTTGTACGCGTTGAGGAAGAAAGACAAAAGGAAAACAGAGGTTAAGAATGATAAAAACAACTTTTTAAATTACAGATTTGATATCGAGCTGGTATAAGTTAGAGAACCACTAAAGAACCAGGGTGTACTGGACAGCTATTTCGTCCTAATTTTGGGACTCTTCAGCATTACGCACCTACTGGGGTTTGAACTAAGCACCTTATAGTTACGAGGCGGGCTCACGGATCATTCAGTCACTGAGACCCGAACCAGTGGCCTATGGATTTCAACTTCTGGTGATTCGCGATATATAACGTAGCTGCCAGCTAATGTTATCCGCGAGTAACTGATATACAGAATGTTTCTTGAACTCAGTAACCTGTAATAGATTTTTCATGTACAAGACTATGAGTCACATATTATGTAAGGACTCTTGATACACCACAGTTGCCCAGGTGCAGTAGGAGGGTGTGGAATGAGAATCGACCCCAAGACCAGTCAACCATAAGTCGACTGCTTAAGCCAACTAGCCTAAAAAGCAGTAAGTATATTGGAGTGAATATTTAAAGAATTTGAAGGCTCTTTGGAGTTTCTATTCCAAACACAATGTTGGGGAAAATGATTACTAAGATGAGATAAATAATCGAATACATGTTTTCGTAAGAATCATTTTCAAAAGATTTTATTATTTTAAAAAAATCTTATTCTTAACCCGGGGTGGGTTCCCTAACCTTACATCCAAGTTTCCCTTTCCCTGGGCTTACTATCGGTTAGGAGAGCAAGCGGGATAAAGGAGTGAGTCAGACAGGGATAGGACTCGAACCATGTACACGGCTGGCGAGCATTTCATTCCTGGACCACCAACAAATTACGTTCGCAAGTGACTACTCGCCAAAGTTCCGAGTTGAAAAACTTCCACTCAAAACCACATCAAAGTGTCAAGTTAGCAAGAGGGAAGAGGCTCAGCTGAAAATCATCATGTCATTCGTCACTATACTGTGAACAGGAAAATACAATAACTATTGTTTGGTTATATACTTATTACACTACGGTAAAGATCGACTTCGAGTCAAAATAAACACTATCAACAACTGTCAACATCAATTGCCCCTAAACAGACCTCCATCTGAAGGCTTGACTGACATACACCGACTAAGTAGGCAAACTAAAATACACTTATATGCCCGTGCTCTTGTCACAACTGTAAGGTGAAACCCCCTCATGAGCAAGCAATAGGTCAATATACATAAAATGCAATCCGATCGCTTCAGTCAGTGAATATTTGGCTCACTCGCTGAAATTCACCATTGAAATTTGCACAGAAGTGCACCAGCTGAAGTTTGCATACTTCATGTACCACAGATAGGTAGAGAAAAGAGAGAGGAAAAAGACATTTGAAAGGACGATACTCAGCAGAAATGTGACGGAGTAAGAATATTAACAATGTTTTTGAAAGTTCACGACAAGAGAATATATCTGTACCATTGAGAACAGTTTTGAGTCGTATGACCAATAGTCGCCGACCATTCGATTTTACCATCCCGAGGACCCTAACAAGGCAGCCAAGGCCTCCTTGTATGGCTCCTTCAAACCATCTTTCAGAAAATTCATGGATCGATGCCTGGTTTAGATTTGACCTCGCCTAACTCTTTCCCAACCTAATTCTATATCACTTAACATTGCCCGTCGAGGAAGGCAGGTTCTCACCACGCGCAAGACATGTCCTAGCTATCTCATTCCATGTGGCTTCACAACATCATCGATTGACTGGCCCTCTTTACCTAACACTATACGCCTAGCTTTAGCATTACTTATCGGATTATACCACTTAACACGGGAGACAGAAAGTAAATACCTAGGGTTAAAGACAACTAGCCTATTCAGGCTTCTCATTTTCAGTGATGATGTCTCACAGTCCTAAAGGAGAAGAGAGCGAACAGCTGCGTAGTACATACTTCCATTGATCGACAGCCAGATATCACGTCTAACACAGAAGAGATGACGTTAGTTGGCGAATGCCACACGAACCCTATCTGAAGGGATTTCCAATGTCAATGACTCATAGACCGATACAATTGCCCATGAATTCTAACTCCTGCCAATTCACGACATAGCGTGATCATTTCTCAATGTCTTCTTCGATGAGTTACTGCCTCATATTCAACCTGCTGTACCCTACTGGTCAGGGTTTCCCACTAAATCCCTACAAAACCGATACTTGAAAATTAATCTGATGCTCACTAGCGACTGACCCATTCAGATAGGTAGTTACCTAGGGTTCTAGTGGGAAGCCGTGACCAGTAGGGCACAGCAGGTTGAATATGAAGTAGTAACTCATCGAAGAAGACATTGAGAAATGATCGCGCTATGTCGTGAATTGGCAGGAGTTAGAATTCATGGACTGGTCTTTGGAGCGGGTCCCAGTGGCTCAATGGTCTATGAGCTACCTCGCTTTGTAACCAAAAGGTCCTGGGTCCGAACCCTGGTGGGTGCGTACTCCTGAAGAGTCCCGAGCTAGGATGAAACCGCTGTCCAGTTCTCCCAGGTTTTCCAGTGGTTCTCTAACTGATGTCAGCTCATGATAAAATCCACCATCCAATAGTAATAATAATAATACCTAATTCAATGTTACAACTCTGTACGAGTAGCTCCAATAATTTGTGGTTTGCTTTCATTAAATCCGGTAAAATATTCTACAAGCAAGAAAAAGAAACGAGAAAAAACAGAGAAAAATATATCAACTTTGTGGTTACTATCTATGTATATATATAATAATGCATAAAACTTGAATACCGCAATGTAGTGTAGCGTCAAACTCCACCAGGTCGATATTAATACGGCAGTTTTATAAAAGATACTGCACTCATAAATGTGCCGGCTACGCTTTCAATAGATGCAAACACCTTGATAGGCAATTTTTCCATTCCTTAGTGAGTTCCCCGTGTGGAACATAGGGTTTTAAGCTCACTGAAGTAGCAATAGCAGTGATGCTGTTTTGTTGTTACAGAATAGGATTTGCAGCCTGACGTTCGACCCTACCTCTTTTCCCGGCTAATTATTCTCTAGTAAGTGGTTTAGTCTAGTGAGCAATATTAAGGTTAGGTGTAAGTTGAAGGACGGAAGTCAGCTGATGAGGTTGTGAAGGTAAATCGATTGGGTTGACTAGGGTAAGTGACGCGCATGCCAAGCCATCGCCTTCCTCGTTAAGCTATGTTAGCTAGTATATGGTTAGTTTGGAAAGGAGTAAGTGGTGGACAAACTAAAATCTACTATCAGTCGATAAGGACTTTGATAGCTGGTTTAAGCTGGCTACGTTTGGAGATATATGCTGCATGGTTGGGGGCCCCAGGACTCTGAGAACCAATGGCCCAGGTGCCTTTTCTCTTTGTAATATCCTATGTCAATTTAATCCTTATGTTTTTCCATGTTAGTATTCTTTCTGCCGCACATTTCTGTTCATTATATTTCTTTTGAATTTTTTTCTCTCTCTTCTCTCCGACTCTGTACACTACACAGAGTGTGGGAACTTGGACTAATGCACTCCTATGCAAAGTAGTTAATCAGTTCGTCAACTGGTATCATTATTATTATTCTCTTTGGTTCCAAGAAGAACATAGGGCTTCAGCAACACATCTCTACTTTGTTCTATCTGTCTTCTTCAGCCTGGTTCAAGATTGCCCGTAGTTTCTCATCTCCTCGTAGCACGATCTCACCCTGGGACTGCCCACTAGTCGTTTCCCATTGGGATTCCACTCGAGCGATGACCTGGCGTGAGAAGTCATTCGACGGCCTTCTCAGAGTATGCCCAATCCTCTTCCATTATGTTCGACATATTTTTTCGAGCAATAGGCTATTAGTTGCCTTGTTGCCAGCATTTCTTGTAGTTAATTCTTTCTGGCCATTTGATCTCTAATATAGAAACAGCAAAAGCAGCTGTTGAAAAAGCTGTTCAGCTGGCTGTTGGTAATGCTTTTCGTGACACGCCACGTTTCTGACCCATAAAGAAGTAACGACTTAGCTAACATTGATGCTGAAAATCATAATCTTGTTGTTTATGCTGGCTGGGTGCAGGAGATTTCCAAACCAATTTTAGATTGATGAAGGTGTATCTTACCTTTCCGATTCTGACTTTAACATCTTCGTCCATTCCGCCTGTAGTTGAAACGATGCTTCCCAGATAAGTGAAGGAGGTAACGTCTTTCAAATTTCCTCCGTTGATGGTGATTGGTGATGGTTGTTGTCGCTGTTTGTTGGTTACCTTCATCACCTCAATCTTCTCTGTGTTCACCTGCAGTCTTGTCTTCGCTGCATCTTCAGCCAGTTTTTTGCTTTGTGTATATCCTTTTGCTTGTAAAAGCTACCTCCAAACACCTAATCACTGAATGTCTAGAAGTCTGCGAAGACTTCCCCGTTATCATTCACTTCGTCGAGAGCCTCTCGACCTATGATGAGTTCCCTTCCTGTTCTACTTCCAGTTTGGCATTCATTCCGCCCTTAAAGATTTTGACGTCACTATTTGGGATGTTCGTCGTTGTTAGCGATTGTACATAGAAATCTTCCTTATTCTCTTGTTCTGAGTTGTTTGTAGGCGCGTAGCATTGGATAATTGTAACCTCGCATCCTTTTGAGTTGAATCTTGCTACTATAATCCTGGGGGGGATTAGTTCCCACTGCATAAGAGCTTTGACTGCTGTTGCTGAAATCATAATGGCCACTCCCTCAACGTTCTCGTGGTTGTCGTCTGGGTGACCGGGCTAGATTATTGATTCACCAGCTGATGATTTCGACAGTCCAAATCCATTCTACATGCCCTCGCAGATTCCTAGCACTTCCATGACGTATTTTCTCATTTCCTGCGTTACCTAAGCAGTCTCCCCAGCCTGATACATTGTACGAGTATTCCACGTGCCCACTCTTATTTTTGCTTTCCTCGAAAGGAGACATATCGGCTAACTGGCTTCCCGAAGGTTCTCACTCCGCCACACCAATTCCAGCGAAAAAATAAGTTTGTCTTTCATATATTTCTGTTATTTTTGATATCCTTATTATGGGTTGGAGTTTCTGCTAGTAAACTAGACGAGGTTCGTTAACTGGTAGCTAGTGGCTAATTAGTCCCACACTTTAAAACAATTCTATTCACTCTAACATGAGAAGCTGGGCGTAATATCACAAGTTCTACACATATAGTTAATTCCTTTCTTATCTACCCTTTGTTACTGTTTCCCTTGTGTTCAATTTTATACTACTTATCACTAGTAAGTAGTATGAGCCTATACAGTTTCACTATGTTGTTACTACGTAACCATTACTGTTGTTTGTTATTGAAGTTAATCTCATTCAATGGATTAATACTCTATTTGATGTGTACCAGTTATCTTCTTATAGTTAAACGGTATCTGCTGTATGTGCCTTATATATATGTATACTTCCATGTTAAACATCGCTTATTCGAATCCTTTTATTCTTTATCTGGCATTCGCGCTATGTTTCACCTGACCGCGGATCGCACTTGACTCGGCTTGTTTTGTTCCGATTGACGCACACTGTCTGCGCATTTCACGACATTCAGCCACAGACAACTCACATTTTCAGGTTTGTGTATTATATTCATTATTTTATACATATATATAATATGGTACCGTACTTTAGACATCTAGTGGTTTTGAATTTTACGCGTTACTCAAACGTTTAGTTAATCAATCGATCGTAGTTAGCGCTCCAGATCTCTGAGTTTATAAACAGTAGTCCTATAATGTATGAGTCTCCTAAACATCACACCGATGAACTTCATTAATAATGAATGCAAACGATCACAAAATCTAGGTATATAAGTTGTTTACTGAACTGAACGATCGTTGACATCTAAAGCTAAGCTAGTAAAATCTGATAATAGGTACTCAAAAGACGTGGCGAAATCTCCAGAAACTCTCAGAAACTTATGAATGAGCTTCTGAAGAAGGGTACAGAAAGAGACTAGTGAGTACAAATATCGCCCTTGTGTGTAAGGCCTGCATATAATCTAGGCATGGAAATAATTCAACAAACATGCATCAGAAGGTGTGCACAATTATGTTAGAGCTCATTGAGTGTGTGTGTGTGTGTGATTGAAATATGTGTAATGAAAATTCACACTTATCAATAACTCATAAATGCGAATACATTTATTGAAACTGTTGAGGATACACCGTAGATACATTCACTCTCTGTAATCTCCCATGTCTATTAAACGCTACTGCATCACCACGTTACTCTTCTTTCTCTTTCACATTCCTTCTGAACCTCATTTTTTTCTCTCTTTTCTCTACATTTTTGTGCTATACATGGAGTGTGTCAACATGAACTGGTGCACTTCTGTGCAAAGTTCTACTTTGATGCTCAATAAGTCAGTCGGTCAGTCAGTCAGTCAATTGAAACACAAACACATACACACACACGCACTAAGGCGTTACTTACCTGGTTAACAGTAGAATGAAATGTTGGATTCGATTGATGGATTAAGGTATTAACTAAACACGTTAACCAAGAATTCATTAGTGAGTCATAATCAGTATTGACTTCTTGAGCAACAGTTGATCTCTGAGCTTCTGAAATCTACATCGAAAATAAATCAAATATTAGAAAACTGATATATCAGTTCGTGAACAAACTTAAAACCAATAAAAAAATTTCAGCAAATTAATACTTGAAAATTAATCCAATGCTCACTAGGGACTGACTACAGGACGGAGTTGTTTGGAGTTTTAGTGAGAAGTTGTGAAGTCGGGAGATCTATCAGGTCGAGTGTGAGGACAAATACTTCGCTATAACAACGGCTAGCACGGTGGCGCTTAAGACAGCAAAATAATGGAAATTAGAATTCATTATTGATATAAGTATAAAACTTGGGCGCTGTGGTAGAGTATAACTCCACTCTAGATAAGATTTTATTTTGATAAATCACACAGTGTTGTACAGTTATATTAACTGATGACGTTTCAAGCACAAATTATTACTGCTCATAATCATATCAAGCTACTCACACAACTTTGCCTTTTTTTATTTTTCAGGGTTAATGCACATTGTGCTCGAACCTCTTCTGCTGTTGTCTTATCTATTGAACCTAGTGCTACTTCTGTGTTAGGAATGACATCCTCTGGTTTTAATTTACTAACTGTTACATTGAAATTTAGTCCTTTCTCAAGTACTTTTATCTCACTAGAGCTTAGTTCCCTTGATGAGAGGTTGATCACCCATTTTGTTCTGTCAATAGAGGATGAAACGTTGACGTCAATTTCATTTATTGTGTTCTTTTCTTCCATTAGTTTGTTGAATTTTTTGATTTGTGTGGTTTTTGATTTTCTTAATGCTGATTCTTTAGCTTTTTTGGATGTTTTAACAACAATTACATAATCTTTGTCATTGAACATACCTTTGATTTTGTGTGAATTCATTAGCTAGCCGTTAGATTTCGTCCCAGTAGCTGAATCGTCTTGCAACCTGAATATCCTACCCTGGGTTCAATCCCTGAACTAGTGCATTTTGAAATAATCAATGGACAGTAACGTACTTTCTCTCTCACACACACATACATACACACTGTGAAGCTATAGTGCATTGGTCTATGCGCTTGAATTTCCAACCAGCAGGTCACGAGTTCGAGCTTCGCGGTTCACCCAATGAGGCTTGCAGCCAGGTCATATCATTAGCTCTTACCCATAAACGGAGTTGCGGTTCATTGTCACCTAGAAGGAACTGCAAGTCGGTGAACTGCTGAAGAGTCTCAAAACTAACACATAGCAGTCTAGCACTCTTCAAATTTCATGGGTTGACTTTAACTGATGTTAAAAACCACAGTAAAAAGTAATCAATTATACACAACTCAAATTACCTAGCTCTGAAGTAGACTGCTTAGTCACTGTTACTACATACAGTTCCACCTTACGAATAGAATTCGAGATTATGATAATGCTTTGGAAGATTGTATACTCGAAAACAGTAGGACACACGAATTGAATCTCTCCATTATCTATCTATTTGATTCCTTTGCGTTCCCAGTGGAACATGATAGTATCGAGCCTGGAGTTCGCAGTTTTAGTAGCAGTGGTGTTGTTTCCACTACGTGGTTGCATTGTTAACCTAATACCCGCCAACCTTCCCCTCTTTATCGGTCTTACTACTGGCTAAGCAAGGCTTCGGAGGACGTCGGTCGAGAATCGAACCCCGGGCCACATGCGTGGTTCGCGTGGCGAGTGTTCCCATAACTAAACCACCAAGATAGTTAATCTCTCTAAATCCCCATCAATTCATAACGTGAGCATTTTATTGAGACACAATAGAGAACTACTTACTTGAATCAAAGTACATTGGGACGATGGATCAGACTGGTGATGAAGAAGGGTATCAGGAAACGATGATTTCAAAACCTTCTTTGATAATTCCTTTTCAGTAAATATTTTTTGAGCAATTATTGTATACAGTTCTGAAATCTACATAAAATAAGAAATCATACATTAGAAAAGAATGTCAGCTGAGTACAAATAAAAAATGCATGTGAACTTACGAAGTAATAATCAGATAGTTGAGAATATGTGCTCTATCTTGTCACTCTAGTCACTATAATGATAAAGGTTTTTAAGAATCAAAGCCTACAAAGACATTATACCAATGTAAAGTTAGAGAGCGAATCATGATTTCCAAACATTCTCTATTGAATCCCCATAAAAGGTAACTCTTTCTTATCATGCTAAATACAATTTTAACTGAAGCATACACCTTGAGAAGTAAACTTCACCAATTTAGATGTTGGAATTTTAAGGATCTCATCTCACACATTGAATCACATTCCCCAGGACACTCAAAACGTATGCAAAAACTGTAATCACAAGTGAAGAGACCGAGTCATTTTCGTCGTTATAAAAAAGTCTGGAACTGTAGTACTTATTGGTACCGACCTAAATCAGCGGGAAAAGCAAAATTCCAATCTTCACTCATGCAGAGATACACTATGCGTAATTGCTGTTACTGAGAGGATAGTGTGGACTAAGCCAGACTTATCGAGTAATCCACTCAGCGAAGCCTCTGAAGTGAAGACAGGAGTGAAACACTAACACCGATGATATTCTTGATTGTGGTGGGACTGGATCGTGCAGAAGACATTGACGAGAGAGAAGAAAGGTAAGCATTAAACCTATAAGAAGACTCTACAAGATCTAGACTTTGAGGACGATTTATGTCAAATGTCACACAAACTCACAGGTGTACAAACGACAACCAGCAAGTCGGCGAAAGAAACAGCAAAGACACAACTTCATGTGAACACACAGAAGACGGAGGTTATGAAAACAACCATGCAACAACAACAATAAGTACCAATCACTATCAATGGGAGAAATTTGCAGGAGGTTACTTCCTTCCCTTATCTAGGCAGAATCGTTTCAACTACAAGCAGCACCGACGAGGATGTTGAAGACAGGCATGACCGGAAAAGCGTGACAGGAGTTCATTACCCTGAAATCAGTGTAGAAATCTACTGCAATCGAAATAAGTAACAAGGTTTAGATGCTCAACAATAATGTCAAGTTAGTGTTTCCTTGTCGTCCAGAGACTTTGCGCGTCACCAACAGCGTTTTCAACAGTCTACTACAGATTTTTACGTACATTTGCATTTGCTTAAAAAAGAAGATCCCAAGAACAACCAACCGGGAAGGATTAGAAACAAGGAACTCTGGGAACGATGGCGCCCACTCTGAGGAGACACTTAAGTGATGTTACGAACCAGGGACTCGAGTGTAACTGGAATGGGAAACAACGAGTTGGGTGTCCGAGGGTGACACGGAGGAAATGCTGTGAGGCAAATTGTAGGGCAAGCTAAAGAGGACTCTAGAGAACAGGGTGAAATTGAGATGTGCTGCTGAACCTGTATGTTCCAATCGGAACCTAAGGGAATAACGAATAATAATAATCGATTAATTTCAGGCCGCAGAAGTGGAATCACTGAAACTTGAATTCTGATTAACAAAGCAGTGGGGCGGAGTCAGGGGCTACGTTTCTGTGGTTCCCTGTAGCCAGAATAGGTTCATGCACTATTCAATCCTTTTGGGATCTGACGCCCATGTACACCGCAAGTTTTCAATCAGGCTTTTTCAGCTCCTCTAGGTAGACCTGCATGTTGTAAGCACCAGAAGTTAACATTTGCACTTTCAATTTTGTCAGGAAGACCCCAGCTGCATGAAGGCAATGAATAGGACTTACCTGGTAATGGGAGGCTATGAACGCGTGGCCACATCATGAGAGCATTTCGAGATGATCGAAGTCCACCCACCTTCGGTCGTATCCAGTGGTTTACGGGAGCATTCACACAATGATACACCTATTACCCGGGTTATTATCCCTTGGTTTTCAGAAGAATCGAACACAGTCACCGCAGCCTATTGCAAGACCAAAACGGTATACAGTATTATCTCCACGGCGGATCATAGCAATGTTAGTTAAATAGGTTAACGAACCAATATACCAGTGATGTAAGCCACAGCTTAGCCACAAAGTAAACAAACTAGTCATAAAATCACTCGTATATATATATAAATTCTACCATATGATATACACCACAACAACTGCAAACTTACAGACGATGCCAAATTAGGATCATTCGCCATTTTCATCAATCCAGACACAACTTGTTCACATACATCATGACCTGATGTACCAAATACTGAAGACAAAGTATGCAGTAGATCAATTATTTTATAATGACTTTTTTTAAATATACACCGCACAAGGGAAGTTAGCACAGCGACTGTCCCACGACTGTAACATGTATCACATACTATCCGACTGAATATCTCATTTAAGTAGTTACAGGATATTTTCGGTTTACAGTCGCCAGTAGTAGTAGCAGTTGTTGTTGTTATTTCCGATGCTGATCGCGGTCGACGACATTCTAAAATGAATAAGAGAATGAAAAGTAGAAAACATTCCAAAATGGATAATTTATTATGAGAATTATGCACAAATTTCAAAGTCAACTGAGTTATCTTAGCAATTTTCTTTGGAATCCATGGATAAGGAGAAACACACTTGACAGTTTCACCTACACAACATAAAAAATATTTCATTATTAACAGAGAAGTTAAGGTCAGAGTACAGGGAGGATGTAAACATTTTTTTGACGCTAGGAGTATTAGTCCTTCAAATATCCTTTTAATGGATGAAAATCGATACCAGCTGAACTCATCTCCACCTTACTCGATATCCTCCATGTCACCCTCCAACTCATATCCAAATCGTCGCTTCCTATTTGTGTTCCAGTCGACGGCCTGGTACATGATGTCACTCAGCGGTCTCCTCAGTGTATCCAAGTCATCTCCATTTCCTTCGGCATATTTTTTGGGCAATAAGTTCTCGCTTGGTTCGTTGCCGAGGTTTCTTTCTGCCTCTTCATTCTATTCGGTCATGTAATTTTCATTACTGGATGAAGGCAGGTGGTGGTAAAAGTTCGTGAAGCCTGTTGGAAATGACTCTGGTGATGCGTGCTCCAAGTCTCTGAACCATAT